TGACTTAATCTTATCCTCTACTCAATCGGCGAGGACAAATTCTCCGATAATTTTCTTAATTCAATCCCAGCCAATAAAAAACACTTTTTAAATCTCTCAATATGATACAGCATAGACTTTAATCATCAATATATATATATATATATATATATATATATATATATATATATATATTGATAAAATATAATAATCGAGATGTATATAATAATAGATTGATAGATAGATAGATAGATAGAAAGAAAAAGAAAAAAAAATAAGATAAAGAAAGATAAAGAAAGAAAGAAAGAAAGAAATGAACAGATCGAGATAGATAGATAGATAGATAGATAATGAAGAGAGAACTTAGATAGATAGATAGATAGATAGATAGATAGATAGATAATGAAGAGAGAACTGAGATAGATAGATAGATAGATAGATAGATAGATAGATAGATAGATAGATAGATAGATCATTTTATTATTTTTATTTTGTATTTGGTTGATATGTATGAGTAAAATAAAATTTTTGAAATGATCACACAATTTTCCGTTTTTCCTTCAAGTTTCGTCAATGTAAACCATTGCATTTCGTTGAATATGACGGACAATTAATATTTTGTATGACTTTCCTTCAGTTTTCTCTAGTATCTTTACAAGACTAAATATGTGTGTAGAGGAAGGATTGTAATAAAAAAAATCGTTATATGAAGAAGGAAAAGAAAAATTGTAACGTCACGAGAAATAAAATTTCACCATATTGCCTGTCATATTCCATAAAACATTTATTAAAATGATTACTACTCAAATAATATATATATATATATATATATATATATATATATATATATATATATATATATATATGTATATATATATAGAAAGCTAGATTATAGATAAAGATACCCAGGTTTTAAGATAGAGCGGCCCTGACGATCCGCTTAGGTGAAACCTGGTAGGTTTGTCTGGCTCACTAGGTGTAATTAGGTCTGCTGTACGGTTGTATTGAGCTTTTTTAGTTGGTTGTTTACTTACGTATCGGGTTTTTTTCTTTGACTTCAAACCTGTATCTGTGCGATTTTTTCGACAGACTTTCATGTTTCTAGCTCTTTCTTTTTTTAAAACCTTTTTTTCCTTCGAGATTCATTTGATTATTCGCAAATCAAAAATTCGAAGGTTTTTCGAGACGAGTATAGTTACCTATATATATATATAGATAGATAGATATATGCTGTTTAAGTACTTTTATAAGAAGTCTAAAGGTTGATGAAGTGTAGCCACGCGCTTCATAGGCACACATTTAAACCAAATTGAAAATATACCATCCTCGATATGAAATGCATTCGTCGAAATTCAAACATGATATAAATCTCCAAACTACACAATGCATCTAAAAGTAATGAAACCCCTTATCATAAAAAGTCATCCTTAGCAACATCACCTTTGAACACGGCCACAATGTACTAGCCGTATTTGGGCATTAAGAATATGTCTATCTCTCAGTAACCTTTAAACTTTTTAAAAATGGCCTTTATATATTATATATATGTGTGTGTGTGTGTGTGTGTGTAATATATATATATATATATATATATATATATATATATATATATATATATATATATATATATATATATGCCCAAATGTAACGAGAACGAAAATAATATAAATTCTAACGTTCACAGCATTAATTCAAAAGAGTGCTCAATACCAAGAGTAGAGCCATAATCATTTATTATAGATTTTTACATGCGGACAAAAACAATATATATATATATATATATATATATATATATATATATATATATATATATGTATGTATGTATGTTTAGGTGGTACAAAACTTTATGACTGCCATAAAAAGACAAAAATTATTTTTATTATTACTCATGATGATAATAAATAAAAAGTAAAAATGAAAAACGGGTTTGCTACCCGGATTTGAACCTCGCTCAACAGAACTAGATCGAGGTTAATAAAGTAAATTATTTAAAAATAGACAAAGTGTATTGGGTAACTCCTTTACCATCCTTAGCAGGTCCCACTCTAATTACTCCAATTAAAAGTGTTGAAGGCCATCAATATTCTATCATTAAAGCCTTCTCTATGTAAACAGAAGGACTTTTTATTAAGGCCTCCAACTTATTACCATCTATTTTTTTCCCCAATACACTTTGTCTATTTTTGTTTTTTTTAAATAATTTACTTTATTAACTTCTATTTAGCTCTGGTCAGCGAGGTTCGAAAACGGTTAGCTAGCCCGTTTTTCAGTTTTACATTTTTATTATCATTATGAGTGGTAATGATAAAATCAATTTCTGTCTGTTTATGGCAGTGATATATATATATATATATATATATATATATATATATATATATATATATATATATATATATATATATATATATATATATATATATATATATATATATGTGTGTGTGTGTTTTCGGCCTTGTATGACATCTAAGCTGTGGTTAGAAAATCAAATTGCGTATTTCGAAGGAATGTCATATTTATTGGTTAAAGTGCCAATATCAGCGATAGAGCGTATGTAAATGTAAAAGTAGGCATTGAATCAAAACCCAGCGCCGACAACCTGTTTTATGCTTATCCGCACGATTGCGTATAAGTATGAAACAGACAGGGTGCTGACTTCAAACTCTACTTTTATATATATATATAAAAGAAGAGTTAGAAGTCAGCAACCTGTCGCTTATATATATATATATATATAAATAGATAGATAGATGTTATATATATATATATATATATATATATATCGCATCTTCCATCCAGTGCACTTTATCAGCGTTCAATTTCTGCTGAAATCCATGATTTTGAATGATCATGTTCAAGATTGGTTATTTCTTGATTTGAAATATCGGCTTAAAACTATCTTGTTTCTCTCTTTATTTTTCTCTGTACCCTATTAATATTTTCTTAGTAAATATAAATGTTTTATTTTGAGATATATACTCAAGTCTGTCTAAAGATGCTTCTTTACCAAGTTGGCTAATCAGAAATAAGGCCTTGAAACGAAGAATTTAATCTTAAACAAATATCTCACTTAATACCACGCTTAATTTACATTGAATCAATCAATGAAAATTAGATAAGTACTTTATTAGTCTGTCAAATGTCTACATGCAGAAAATAAAACTCTATTTATATTATTTATGAATTAAAAAAAAGGCTTATACGATTTTATTAGCGATAATAATTTATCTTTCTTGCGTTTGCCGCGTAGAAAACAGTCAGCAATACAAAAGAAAGAGAACAGTTGTGAGGAGGGAAAAAAGTGTATTCAGTTTTGTTCATTGTTTGCGTCTGCTAGGCATGGCACGAAACACGCTGATACGCATGCGCTACATGTGTCACTGACAGTGTGCATCGTGAATCTACTTCCGGGCCTAACTGACTTACAGTTTAGAACTGATTGCGTGCGGAACGAGTAATAATCGACTGATGGTTATGTACGGTGTTTCAACAATTTCCGTCCCTGATCGGCTAACGGTTCAGCGCTGGGCACGTCGTTCATGCAATGAGATTTATCCCAGAATGCAATAGCAGTGCGCTGTGCGCAGCCGCAGTGGCGAAGGCGACACTTGGAGCACTCATTCCGTCTCGGCTTTTTCGTTCTCCCCCTCTCTCTCTTTTCGCTCACTCTCTGTGCTTTTCTCGTGCTTAGCTTACATTTTTTTATTATTCTCCCTGATACTCTCTTTCTGTCACTCTCGTCGCACGTATCCACCCGCTCTCTATTTACCACTACATTTTTTCGCATCTTTTCTCGTTTTCCTTACTTCAAAACAATTTATTTATTATACCCTTTCTTTTTTCCTACTCTCTTTTCTTCTGCTTTCCACAACAATAATATTCAATCCTTCCGTACTTTATAAAGGCAATCTTATTTCTGTTTTTTACGGGAATCTCACGTTTTATTACTTAAACCGCCCTTTTTTCTTTTGAGATTAATTTCTTTCTGTCATTTTCTACCTATCTGTTTTTCTTCTTTTTCAAGGGCGATTTTAACTTTATCATCCTTTTTTATTTCTTTTTTTTATTTCTTTTTATTTCTTTCTTTCTTTTTTATTTCCATTTTGATTGTTTATTTATTTATTTATTTTTATTTATTTATTTATTTCCTTTCTTTTTCTATCCGTAAGTGTGAGCGAGCAGGCGACCGATAAAGGAGGCGCGTTACTGAAAAAAAAAAACCCTCCCTAACTTTCTCACTTATCAAGCTTACTCACTCCGTCTTTTGTGCGCTATCTCTCTCCCCTCCTCTATATCTCTTTTTTTCTCTCTCTCTCCTCTCCCTCTATCTCTTTTTCTCTCTCTCTTTATCTCTCTTCAAGAAAGTGTTTGTTAAAAGCTATCGGACTGACGCACATAGGCAGTGAGCGAGTAAACGCGTCGGGCAACGAACGAGAAGACTAATATTATATTACTGGCCGACATATCTGATCGGACGAAACCATAGCCTGATATCGGACAGAATAAGAGAGAAAAAAATAATAAAACGACACAAAATCAAGTGATTGGATTCGTTAGTTTACTTCCTAAAAAAGACGGACACCTAAAAACACATAGCCACGAACAACACTCAAACAGACAACATTATAAGCAGCAGTAGCACGAATCGACGCAACCGAGCCAAGACAAGAGTCTAAGGCATACGAGGCCAGACGGATCACTTATTATTACTTGTCCTATACGTCCATTCTTTTAACCTACACATGTCCTGGTGGGTGTACAAAAAGAAGCGAAAAAGGAAAACCCGACTCTCTTCGTCATCGCCTCCACTTCTTCTTTAGCATGGATGTTTGTAAAGCTTTTATCGTCATCACCCACACACCATCGCTCAAGGACTGACGGAAGGTTTCTTTATTTCTTTCTTCCTTCCTTCTGTCCTTTCTTTCTTTCTTTTTTTAACTTGTGTTTGGGAATAGCGCTGGGGAAAAGTTTTCTCGACCCCACAGACCCCAGCCGGAAAAGCTGGGCTGGTTGGTCAGGTTTACATTTCAGATAGTTTACAACGTTATCTTTGCTGTCGTCATCACAGTCGCCATCAATTTCGCGGAAAGAAGAAGAAGAGATTCAGCGACGGGTTTTGGAATAATAATCACTCTGTATCGACGCTTCCCGTTCGTTTTATTAACAGTATACCGAGAACACCAGGATCAGTGACAAAAAAAAAGTATCAGTCAATTTAAATTCAGAAAATATATCAATAATAACAATAAGCATTTCAAAGGAAGAAAAAAAAGGAACGATTTAACGCAATAAATAAAAAAAAACAAACTGCAGGTTATTAACACTATATTTGCGTGGCAAAAAAAGAAACGAAAAAGAAAGAAAAAAGAAAGAAAAAAGAAACGAAAAAGAAAGAAAAAAGAAAGAAAAAGTCCCTGGGGATTTTCTTTTTATCGGGTTTTTTTTACTGCTGGACAGGTACGGTTTTAAAAAGAAAAAAAATATTATATATACATATATATATATATTTTATTTTTCAAAAATGCAAAATACAGCACCAACAACAACTACCACCAACACAACAACAACAACGTCAAGCAGTGTGGTAACAATGACAACAACCAAATTCAAAGACGTGATTTTGGAAACAATTGACCAGCTACGGCAAAGAAAGCCCGGCCTGACTTAGAGCGTATTAGCCACATGTTACAACGCAAACACGGAATAAGTTTCAGCGAGACGGAGGCCATCCTGGGAAAACTGGTCGACAGCCAGGTGGTCTTCAAGGTGGACTACAAGGGCAGCACTAGTTACCGCAACGCTGCCAAGTGGCGTATCAACCATCTCGCAAGCAGTGGTGGTGGCGGCGGCGGCGGCGGCACGGGTGTGCTCACCCAGAACTCGGACCAAGTAAGTCAGAAAATACGGGAGGCCGTACGAGCGCTTGCCGGAGGAGGCGGTAATAGCAGCACTCATAACAGCAGCACTAACAACAACAACACTATTAGTAATAGTAGCAGCAGCAGTAGTAGTAGTACTAATAGTAGTAATAGTGGAGGGGGGCGAAGAGGACGACAACAACAACAGCAACAAAACAATGACAACAATTCGGGTGTATCGACGTCATCTATAACTGCTGCTTCCAGCAATAAAAAATCCAACTCGGCTTCTACGGCTAACTTATCAACATCCAGTAATACCTTTAACCATACCGGTGAGAGGGAACCCTCTTCGATAGGGGCAACAACAAAAAGAGGAGGCTCGAGTGTCCGAGCCGATAAAGCTTCGACTCATCTCCGGGCCACTTCGTCAGAAGACAAAAATAACAATAGTAAAAGTCCCGCTGGTGGCAGCGTCGCACCTGCTGCTACTGCGGCTGCTACAATATCGCCAGCCTCTTCGTCTACAACGGCAAGTCAGGCTTCATCCACGCGACGGAACAGCGCTAAAAAGGAACAGACTGGTCCTACCGGCGTGAGTTTGAAAGACCTGGAGAACTGGTTAAATAAACAAGATAGTGATAATCCCTTGGTTAAAAATCTGCTTGTGACTGCCTTGCAAAGAGAAGTTCAAGCCGGATGGTTAAAACGTTTGCGAAATGGTAATTATGTAGATGTAGCTAGCATTAGTAACAGCAACACTAACAGTAAAAAGAAAAACACCAACAATAATAAAGGTACTAAAAATGCTAGTGGCAGCAGCGGGGCTCCCACTTCATTAGCCCTAGCCTCAACTCCGATTACGTCATCTTCTTCTGTCAGTACTTGTGGTATCGTTTCTCCGCCGGGTGAGTCCAACATAGGAAAGAATCACCCCACAACTACTGTCACCACCCCGAACACGAATAACAACAGCATTATTATTATTACAAACAGTGCTAACTCTAGTACAAACAGTGCCACTCTCATAACCTCATCTTCCTCAAAGAGTTCATTCGTTTCCCAGCCCGCCAAACCAAATATCAGTCACGGTACAAAGCGAAGCGCTTCGTCAGTAACGACTGGCCCTTTCCTTGCTACAAGCCAACCGTTAATATCCCCATCCACCCCTGCTCTTATTCCAACCTCAGATGTAACTGCCCATGGCCAACAAGGCACCACTTTGGTGTTAGTTCCGAGCTCTTCTCCGACAACCTCCGCTGCACACCCGACCCTATTGTTACCCGTGTCCCCGGCCCAAACCTCTACCGATTCTGACAGACGCCCAGCCCCGCTGACAGCATCGTCGGTATCAGCGTCTTCATTTTCTTCCTCTTCTTTATCCTCATCGTCTATTTCTGCCTCATCCGGATCTAACCACCACAACAATGCTCTGGCCAGGGTGTCGCTGTCGTCTTCGTTATCGACCCCGTCAATGTCGACAGGGACCCCCGGCCTCAGCAGGGAGTCTGCCCCCGCGCGACGTGACAATAATAATGCTAAGACCGCCAAATCTACAGCTCTACAAACAGCCGGCCCCACAAACGCACCTGTCCCAGCTAAGAGAGGCCGACCCGCTTCCAAAAGAAAGGTAAGCACGTGCTGTATACATTTCTCTCCTTCCTAAGTTTACACCTTTTTTTTCTTTTTTTTTTTTGCTTTCTTCATTTTTTTTCGTTTTTGTTTTGATTTTTTTTTCTTCTTTTTCTCTTTTTTTTTTCTCTCTCTCTTTTTTTTAAACGATCGTAAAATCTTTTCTCGGTATTTTTTGCCAATCTCCATTTTCTTTCCATTACTTTTTTTACAATATCCTTTTCTATTTACTATTGTGCAGCCAATAGAAGGCCTAGGAGCCACTCAAGGTAGAGGGTTACAAAATATGGCATACAGAAAAGCATATTATGAGGATATGCAGGATAGATAACGACAGCCCTTCACTTAAAGAGGTTAAGATTGTAATGATCTCATCTACACGCGCGCACACGATCGAACACATATATACCCGTACACGCACTGTCTCCCTCTATCCTTCTCGTTATCTCTTACACATACAGAGACGCATGCATATATTCACGCACACGCGAACACAGACATATGCTCACGCATACACACACATACACATGTTTCCATGTCGCGTCAGACATTTCTCACTTTCTTCTTTTAAGGAAGCCACTTCGTACCTTAAATTCTTCGAACTTTTTGATAGCGATTAGTACATGTATTTCTTTATATAATGCTGGAAAGGTGGGGCGATTCCCTGTACCGCTCCGGAACCTGACTCCTCCTGCAACGTCCTGCCTTTAGAAGAGCCAGATCAAACCGAAAATGGAGTAATGCTGTCATATCTGGGCTGGAAGCTACAAAGCATTCACTTTCCAATCTCGATAAGAGTCCAACAGTACGTACGCGACTTTTGGATGATTAATTATTTTCCACCCTACAACCCTTTTCCCCACAGTCAAAACGTTGCAAGCCTCACCTGACTCTATCGCTATTTCCATGGAAAATGTGCAGACGAGCTACATTCTTTAGTCCCCACAACTGTAACCCTCCTAGCTAAGATCCGCCCCGCAGCGTACACTGAGGCGAACCACCCTCATTCCCTTTGTATTCAATTAGTGAGGAGTAAGTTTCATTCGAACAGCTTCTCCCTACGAACAGCTACTTTGTTGAACTGACTCCCAAGAGGATGCTTTCCTGATCACTACAATCTTAACCTAATCCAGTGTTAAACGTTATCTTTCCCACGTATCCTCATAAACTGCGCCTCTTACACTTAGTGTTCACACAACAACCTCCTTCGGTAAGCTTGAGTGACTCTTGGGCATTGTATAGCATGAACATTAGTAAAAACAAAATGATTGTAATAATTATATATATCATGGTAATATTATTTTAATAATATATATATATATATATATATATATATATATATATATATATATTTCAAATAATTTAAAAAGACAAATAAAGTAAATCAAATTTTTTGATTGGTGAAAAATTATTTATTCAAATATTGGATCATGTTATTTAAATTGTATTTTAATTATGGGTTTAAAAAAATAATTGAAATCCCCAAATGTCCTCCAAATCCATGAAATAAAGAATAAAATCATTAGACGCTTAAACTTAATTCACATTAAAATCGGTCAAAATTGGAACATTTATTTATATATATATATGTGTTTTGTGTAACCTGTTTGTTAATGTGTGCACATTAGTTGTGTGCGTTCTTTAATGTCAATGCTCCTGCGTTGACATATTGTGTAAAGGAAAATTGTTATGTAAATGAATATATAAGATTTTAGATAAATATGAGATAGATAGATATATAGATGGATAGATAATACTTGGATGTATCAAAAGTCTTCTGCAATTTTTTTGTATTTTATACAAAAACAATTTCATGTCAGGATTTAAAAACCAATATTGATTATGAAATATATGGATATAAAGATTTAATATATTATAGTTATTTCATAATATATATAAATATTAATATAAATTTTTAAATTAACACAATGTGCCTTTTTATATATTGTGCAATAGGGATTAGCTAGATTATAATAGACATATATATTATATAGATGAATTTATATCCGTGATAGTTTCTTATTATTAAATATTAAATTGATTGAAATGATTTTCTATATCGAACAATTGTATTTAGTTTTTCATAATAATTTGAACCATTAATAATAAAATTCTTCTTTTTCAAATTCTATCTTTTTTCTATGTGCTGTGATCCCTTCAGGACATTGTGGATCAAATACTCCACAATTTTTGTCCTTTATAGCATATTTAATAAGATTGAAATTTTTTATTTACCTATCCTAAATCCCAAATATTCTAGATTCGCTTATATAAAAAATTTTATTGTAAAAAAAACATTTTATTTTGAACGCGAATTTTTTTTTTTCCATAATTTCCTTTCATTTTATGTGGGAAAAATCCAATGGTATCAGAAAATATTTTTAAATTAAACAATTTTATATATTTTTATGTTTTTTTTTATAATAAAAAAATATATATATATATATTTTGATCAATTTTATGTTATTTTATTTTCAAACTTCGGATTTTATGACCAATTTGTATTAAAATTATATAACATTTTTATTTATATATTGAAAATATTTACCTTTATTCTAAATATTTACAAAAATTAGGTCTATCCTCATCATTTTCCCTCCCTTTCTTTTTTTTACTTTCCTAATTTGAATATATCTTTATTTTATTTTAAACCCTAAATTATTTCTCAATTATTTTTTTGGCAAATTATTCTTTTTTTGGTTTTTTACACATATATATAAATTTACACACACCTTGTATTATATATAATCCTTTCATCCGGTTCATGTTTTTTTTTTTTATATTATAAAAGTTAATTTTTTTCACAGAAAAACAAATATTTTTAGGATTCCGATATCGTTCTTTTCATTTTCTTTTTTTTAAAATCAATAATCAATGATTGATTTTCAATAGGTTAGAAATAAACCCATATAGATTCCTGCTAAAACTCACCTATACACATGATAAAGATTTTTCAAGATAAAGTAACCCCATTTACTTGACAGGAAATACCCGGTATTGAAAAAACATTAGTTTAAAAAATTTTACAAAATTCATTAAAATTATGAATCCCTGTATTTTGTTATTTTATTATTATTTTTTTTAATTAAATTATTTACTTGTTTCAAATATTTAACCAATAAAAAAATAAACGATGAATTATTCATTTTTTAATATAGATAGATAGATCTTTAATAGATAGATAAATTGTTAGAATAATTATTATTATGTATCTATGAATATGATGAAGAATAAATAAATATTTAAATTGAATAATATAAATAAATATTTCAAACAGATTTTTTTCCTTCTTGACATAACAAATTAATAATGATATAATGAAATTTAAAGATATACATTTAAAAAGAAAATAAAACCATTATATTTCAGTGTTTTTTATTTTCATACAAAATACCATTTGTTATATATAAATTTCAACAAAACGTTCATAGTAATATTAGACATAAATTGCCATAATAATAAAATAGATTTTAATTTTCATATCTCATAAATTTCTACTTTGATTTTTAGACAGATAGATCAATACGATTTGATTTTAATAGCATTTCTTTAGATTGATTGATAGGATTATTCGTTCAATATAGATGGTTTTAATGTTTAGATTTTAATTAGAGTAGTAAACCATTTTATTTTTTTATTTAAAAATCTTGATTTTTCTTGCATACATTTTATATATATATAAACACACATTAATATATATATATATATATATATATATATATATATATATATATATATATATATATATATAAATTATTTGTATTTTTATATTAGAAAAAGTTTTATATGAAATATTTCAGATATAAATATAACATATCAATATCATGTCTTGATATTATAATTCATTTGTTTCGTTTCCACATACATTTTTCATATTTTCTGTCAATATTTTATTTTTGTATATTAAAGACATCATTTTTTTTTAACTTTTTCTAATTTTATTTTTTGTCAATAACATTTGTCGACAACATTTGAAAATTTCCCTTCTTTGGGAATCCACTAGTAGATAATCCCATTTAAATTCTTATTGTTCATTTGATTTTTTCAAAATTTTTCTGTTCATTCCTTTGTTTTATATTAAAAATATTTAAAATTCTTTAAATATTTTATATATATATTTATATTATTTTTTGTATCCTGGAATTATATCCTCTGGTAAATTCTTTCCATTATTTAATTTAAAAAATTTATTTTAATAGAAATTTCCTCCCTGATTATTTTAAATTTTTCCTCTCCAAATTGGATTTATTTAATTTATATACATTTCTAATATTCTTTTTTTATGATATCTATTTAACAATTTACAAAATAAAATAGATAGATTTCATTTTTTAATTAGTTTTAAATATTTATTTTTTTCAATTTTTTTTTATAATAAATTTTATTTTGTTTCAGCTTTTTTCCTTAAATTATTTGAAATCTCTGATATATATATTGATATTTATTTATATATTTTTATATTTTTCCTATGATTTCTTAAAATTTATTTTTTATATTTTATTTCAAAACATTCATCCCTTTTTTTTACCCATTTGTCATTAAAAATTCATTTTTTGTTTAATTTTAATTTTAATGTTTTCGTATGGAAATACATTTTTAATTTTCATTCCGGATTTTTCAAAGAAAATTTTTCCCAAATACATCTATTTTAAAAACCTTATAAATATAAATTCTTAAATAAAAATTATATTTATCTATTTATTTATTATTATTTCCATCCATTATTAATTAAACAAAGTCATTGTTTACATTAAAAATTTTCACCCCCATTTCTGCATGGTGTTGTAATTTTGAAATATTTGCTCCTGAACGTTTGACATTAATCTTAGAATCAATGCCGTTGTTGGACCAAGAACTGAAAATCATTAATATTTAAAATTACCATTATTTATTTTCAATTTTGTTCTGTATTTTTTTTTATCAAATTTCTTGGAAAAAAATAGATAGATTCTTTAGATAAAATATAATTTAAAAAAAATCAGAAAAATCGAATTTTTCAAATTATTGGATAATTAATATTTTTTTTGGTTCCAA